GTCTGTGTTTGGCTCAGGTCATGATCCCGGGGTCCTGGGATTGAGCCCCCCGTTGGGCTCCCTGCTCAGTGGGAAGCCTGCTTCTCCCTTTCTCTCTCTCTCTGCCCTCCCCTCCTCCTCCCCCACCTTGCTCGTACTCTCTCGCTCTCTCAAATAAATAAATAAAATCTTTAAAAAAAAATCAGTTCATTCAGTACATCTTAGCTCTTGCAAATATTATGAACACCTGTGGCCATTCAAACCCATTGCCTATGCAGTGAAGAGCCCTGAAGTTCAAACTTCTCGGTGACCCCACCTCTGGGTTCTGTTCCTAAACCTGCAGGGAAGACAGATGATGGTCGGGCTGGCAGCCAGCGGTGCTTGCCACTGGAAGATGAAACCTGGTTTGGCTATAGCTCCTGGCCCCAGCCCGGGCCCTGCCCCTTCCCAGCTCCCTCTACCTCCTTCCTTCCCTAAGCTGCTTTCAGGAGCTAACTCCCTCTTCATGTACCAGGAACACTCCCCAGAAAAGGAAGCAGTGTTTATGGACACCAGAGTGCTGTCTGCCTGGCAGGAGGTCAAGGACTTCACATCTGTCACCTCTGGTCCACCTGGCAGGCCTGGCCGTGCTGAATCATTGATGAATCTATGAATCAGAGAAGTGCCCCACCCCACACATGCAATGAGCAGCCAAACCAGGATAAAAATCAGGTCAGCTGGCTCGTAGGTCCGGGTGCTCCCCCAGCCGCCCCCAGCAGCCCCTTCCTCCATTTTGGTGTCAGTGGAAAAGATGGCCTGAGAAACCAGGCTCCAGCTGCTGACCTGCTGAGCCGATGCCCCTGGGGCTGCTTCATCTAGTCTGTGTGCGGTCACGGGGCCACCCTCACCAATCTCCTCCCATTCTAGGTAGCTTTGGGGAGCAACAGAGAGGGCCTGGCCTTTCCTTCCCAGAATTAATCCACATAGGAGACCTTGTTCCTTCTGAGAGCTTACATTCTAGGGGCTAGAGCACGAAGAATCTTCAAAGATACTCTTCTGATGGCGTGTGACAATAATGTCCCCCAAAGAGTCATGTTTCCCTGTGTCTACACTGCTCACAATGTGACTTTCTCTTCCTCCCATCAAGAGATGGAGTCAAGGGGCACCTGGTGGCTCAGTCGGTTAAGCGTCTGCCTTCAGCTCAGGTCATAATCCCAGGGTCCTGGAATCAAGCCCCGCATCAGGCTCCCTGCTCCTCGGGGAGCCTGCTTCTCCCTCTCCCTCTGCGCCTCCCCCTTGCTCGTGCTCTCTCTCAAAATAAATAAAATGTTAAAAATAAATAAATAAATAAAAGCAATGGAGTCTCCTTTCCTGCCTCCGAATCGGGTTTGGCTCATGACTTGCCGCGGCCAACAGAATTCAGAAGTGACATTGTGCAATTTCTGGGGTTGGGCCTTAAGGTACCGTACCGTGACATGGTTAAAATGATAATTACATATATTTTATGACATTTAAGAGGTGGGACTTGTGGGGAGAAGGCTATGAAGCTCCAGCTGGAAAGTGTTGTTCACCTAAAGTTCTGAGTCTACCACGGGCCCAGTCTGTGTTAAAGGGAAGATCAGCGCTGGTGGGTGGTGATATTGCTGGAGACTAGTAGTACTATCTACTTCTAGATGCTACGAGCCTTTCTTCTTGAGATCCCCAGACGGATTGAAAGATACTTGGAAAGACAATCACTTCCTCACTGTGGGACTCTACATCGTTTGCGTCTCAGTTCTGCCTAAAGACATCTTAAGGAACCACCAGTAAGCAGGGGCCTCTCCCCGGGCAGCTCTCAGCTGGGAGGACAGTGGTGATGTGTTCTGGAACAGACAAGGGAACAGAGGGTCAGACCCTCCTTGGGCAGCCCTGTCGAGGACAGCGGGATCTGCAGGAGGGCTGGGGACTGCCAAAGTGAAGAGCTATTAACGCGGGGGGCTGGACTCCTGACGGGCACCGTCAGAGGACACCCCCTTGCCCTAAGTCCAATGATATGTCAGGCTCCCACCATCGACCCCGGGCCTTGCGGAGGGGGGCTGTGGTTTAGGGTGAGTCAGAGCACGCCTCCAGAGCACACAGTGAGGAGGGTGAGCGTGCAGCATCCTCCCGATGCCTCCGGGCGGCAGCCAGAGCTGGGCCAGAACGTGCAGCTGTGCGTCTGCAGACTGTTTTCGTTTGTCCTACACACAGAATAAAAAAAAAATGCAAGCCAACTTTTGGAAATTGGGAGATTTCACGTAAAAATCCAGACTCCTAGCTTCTCTTAAAGATAAACACACGAGAAGAATGACAAACAAAAAGGAAGGTCCCATAGCAGGGGGCTCGTGTTCCCAGGAGGCAACAAGGCAGCAGGGCTGGGACGCGGCTGTGGCGGAGAGCTCACTGTCCAGTTCCCCATAGCCCTCACCCCTCCCCAGAACAAACGTTAGAACAAGCATGAGTTCTCCCTGGGTGTCAGCCGCATCCTCAGTCAGGCACGTTGCTTTCGCACCTCGGGATCGGCTGCCTGGAGCTCCCTTCTCCTGCAAACCGGTTGGTACTTGGCCCTTAGAGCATGTTTGAGCTACTTCCCTCAACCACTACTTTCAACTGGCCCCTTGGGGCTTCTGGCACAGGACGGGGGCCCATTTTGGGGTCCCACACACTTTGAGGGTCTCGCTTCTGAAGACACAAAGCTCCTGTGGATGTTTTGAGATATGCACTCTTGTAGGCTGGATTATATTTGCGTCTTTTCTGCCTAGCACTGGGGCATGGGAAAGAGAGCTCATTCTTCCAGTTACAAAGCTCTCCTCCAAGTATACAACTTAAAACTTAATTCCCAAGGACCCAGCTGCACTGGCATCTCCCGTCACTTTGGCAGCTGGTGCTACCCCTTTTCCCTCCTCCATACACCAGCCTCTAGCGCCTGCCAGCCCTGCCCCTAGCCCCCCTATATCCCAGGGAAGTCCTCTCTCTCCTGTGCCCAAATCTGGAACCATCTACTCCTGCAGAGGCCTGCTCAAGTGGAATAGCATACAAATATCGGCTTTCAGGGTACAAAGGTAATCAGGGAATGTTAAATATTAAACCATGTGCCAAAGAGCCCCTGTGTGCAAATGCTCCCTCCCCCTTTCTGAGTCTACCAGGGATCTTAAAGGGTCTCCCACCAGAGCCTCGCTGCCCTTGCTAACTTCTAACCTAACCCCTCTCAGGCCCTGGGGAAACAGACTTCCATTGCTTTTATTTAGCACCTCCTGAAAAGATAAAAATGGCCTATCAAGAAAGAAAAAGAAACCTAGCAGCTAGATGTCTTATCAAAAATCACCAGGGAAAACATGCTGGATATGGCAGTTATAAAAAAGCACCCCTCCAAGTCTCTGTACCTGGGGACCCTCAGCTTTACCACTGGGTCCTCAAGAATGAGGTCACATTTTCATTTTTATTTTTTATTTTTAAAGATTTTATTTATTTATTTGACAGAGAGAGACACAGAGAGAGAGGGAACACAAGCAGGGGGAGTGGGAGAGGGAGAAGCAGGCTCCCGGCAGAGCAGGGAGCCCCATGTGGGGCCCGATCCCAGGACCCTGGGATCATGACCTGAGCTGAAGGCAGCTGCTTAACGACTGAGCCACCCAGGCGCCCAGAGGTCACATTTTTAATTTTCCTAGTCCCCGCCCTTATTCATTTCTACAGCAAGGTGTGCTGTCGGGCAATGTCCCTCTGCCCATGCAGCCCTCACCTGGATGCCCCTGAGCATGACCCTCCCACCCATGCTCCTCATCCACAGACTCACCTTCCCCGCGACAGACTCTATCAGCAGCAGGGCAGACATCTGCGGAGTTACCCTGGACGCCCACCTCTTCCCCACATCCAATCAAAGCTCAGGTCATCAGCCCCGCTCCAGTCCCTCCTATGTAACTAAGACACAAATGTAATTATGACCCTCCCCTGCTCAAAAATCTTCCATGGCTCCCCAGGGCTGCCACGTTAAAGTCTAAACTCCTTGGCTTGGCACTTGCAGGATCCTCTCTGGCTCCAATCTACTCCCCCAGTTTCATTGTACAACAGCTTGAATACTCATGATTTCCCAAGCATACCATGTCTTCCCAGACCTCTGAGCCTTTGCATATGCCATTCCCACAGGGTAGAATGCCCTGCTCTTGTTTATTTGCACCAGGCACATTACTCACTGTAAAAGTCAGGTCCAAGGCCACTTCCTCCACGAAACCTGCCAGGCAGACTGAGGGACCCCTTCCTTGGATCCCTTGGGGGCTCACAGCTGAAGGCAAGGGTACCACCACCTTTTTATCTGTTTCAGCACTTAGCGCCACCTTCAGAGCACAGGCGTTCAGTAAATGTCTGACTGGCCCGTCCCTCGACTTCTGCAGAGAGGAAGTTCTGGAGTCAAAGCCATGGGCTACGTCCTGGACTAGCCACCTTCCAGCTGTGTCATCTTGGGTATCTTAGCCTCTAGTGCCCCTGTTTCCTTGGCTGAAACATCACAATTCCTGCTTCATGGCGTGGTTGTGAGGATTACATTGTGTGTGTGTGTGTGGGGGGGGGGTGATGGATAGAAAGCACCTCCCTGGCTCAGGAGGGCCTTGCAAATGCCAGCTCCCCCTCTCCTCCATCTGTCCTGCCTCCTCCAACCTCCAAAGCACCTCTCTACATGACTGGCAAGGAGAGCCTCCTAGAAATAAGAGTCAGATAAATGAGCACTCCACTCCCCACCCCCTATAGCTTCCACGAGGTGAAGACACCTTCAGCCCAGGAGACACTGGGTCTGGGTCTGCTCATGAGCTGTTAGTGTTGGAGGCTGGATGACCATCCTCTGTGCATAATGGGCTCTGATGCCGTTCTGTCTCCACTCCTCCGTCTGCCTTCCAGGTCCACGGATACCTTTTTTCTCTGGAAGGAGCTCCTAGAGAGGGTCCGACCCCCAAACCCCATTCCTGTTCCCTCATGCCATCCATCTGACTAACGCCACACACTCATCTGGAGCCGACCCAAGTAGACACAAGCCCGACACCTTGGTACAATTTTATTCACAAACTCCAGACACCCAGGCTTGGCCTGGCACAAAGGATGTGTTCTTGCCAGTGACAAAAAAACGGATACAGCACGTTCATTAATACTAACCATTTTAATTTAAATTAATAGCATTTCTGGAAGACAAATGCAGTTGATAGAAAATATAAAAACTTTTACTGTACAAATTTTACATCACATTCAAAAAAAGCAAGTGTGCGCCCGAGGCCACGGAGGACACTGGCTTTACATACGCTAATGAAATCCGGGCTAACGTTGTAGCATCACACGAGCTCCCTAATGGCTTCACATTTAGGTCTCCGCCAGGCCCCCTAATCAACACGGAACAGCGATGCAGGCGTACAGGGCACACGGCTGCCCCCTGGGATCACAAAGAGAATGCCACGAGAGGACAGAGGGATTCCGGCGCCCTGCACTGACTTGGTGACACGGAGAGGTCAACATTGCTACACTGCCCGCTACCAACGGGGAGCTTGATTGAAGACCTCGAGCTGATGGAGAGCCAGGGGCTGTGGCTCTGAGGGTTAAAGGCAGCGGGGACACGGGCCCTAGGGTTTTGGAGGGGATGCTGGGGACTGGGGCTGTGCTGCGAAGGACCAAAGCTTGGGCTCCACTCTCAGACCCTGGTGGGGACCTCTGCAGCCCCCACAGGTCTCGCCGAGGAGGCGGTCCCAGCTTCTCCATCCCCTTCACAGTTGGCCGTGAGCGCTGAATTCACAGTATCTGGCCGTCCTTCATGTGTTTCCATGGCAGACAGGGAGAGCACACAGAAGGGCAGGCACGTCTTCCCAACCTCAATTCACAGTCACTTTGACAGGGAGAAGGGGACCACGTTTCTCTTAAAGGACAGGCAGCACAGAGGCCAGGCCAAGAGCTGGGTTGGCTGTCCGGGGTCCTGAAGAGGAAGGGCCTGTCCTCCAGGCCTTCAGCAACCCTTCAGGGTTCCTGGCTGAGCGTCAGTTCCTTAAGGGCAGGGACCGTGACTGCTCCCATTGCGGGGTCCCCTACACTTGCTCAAGACACCGTCAGTGCTCGATGAAAGCTTCTTGAACTGACCCGTAGGCGTGACACCCAGCGGGGAGGCCAAGGGATGAGGGGGTGAAGCCAGCAGCCCCACAGAAGAGGAAAGACCCCCCCCCCCAACAAAGCTGAATCCAGCTGGCTTACATCTCTGGTCTTCCCCATACACACTGACCGGGAAGGGTTAAGGAGCTCAGGTCTGGGGCGTGGATGGGCAGCGGGAGCCTGGATACCTCACACTACTGCACAGCTGTGCTCTCCAGGCGAAGGTGGCCCGCCTGAGGGGCGCTTGACTCAGGAAGGCAGCCCTACCACTTCTAGGCAGTAGCCTGCTTCGTCCGACATTTTGGCCAGACTCCAGGGAAGGCTCTGAAGATTGGGAGCTTTGCTGGGTGGGTCTAAATGAAAGGGATGGGAGGGCCACATGCCCCCATCTTGGCTCAGAGCACGGACACAGGTTCTGGGTCTGAATCCAACCACATCTCCACCCTCATCACCCTTGGTCAGTCCTGGTTTGACGCCTAACATGGCGTAACACCCGCTAAAGGCTTCTTTGCCATTTGGAACTGTTCTCCTTAGGTGACAGCTTCTAACGAAGATAGGCAGGATGTGCTGACATCATGATGGACATCCCCCAGTCAAGCCCCTTTCTGGTGCAAATATACATGCACAGATGGTCCTGACTCGGTTCAGGGGAGGCTCTGAGGCCTGGTGGACTGGGTGGTCTAGATCAACAGTGTGGAGGGGCACAGGCCTCCCGCCTTAGCTAAGAGCTCAGAACAAGGACAGTGGAAGAGTCAGGCGTGGCTATGGGCTTCCAACAGGATTGGAGGAGAAGGGATGGGCAATTCCAGAACCTTGGCATGACTGATGGGGCTTCTGAAGAGCCAGGTCACCCTGTGGCTGGGAGGGTGGGCTCAGGAACCTGCTGCCTGCCACTTCTCCCTCCCCCTCCCCTCTCTGTTCTTCCTGAGCAAGCCTTCATGGTACATGCAGCTGCCAGGCTGGGCCTTAGCTCTGGGGTCAAATGTCAGCCAGGACTGGGATGTGTCTAAAAAGCTGAAGCCCTGAGTACCATCTCCTTGGTGTCTTCCTGGAAGCTGTGTGAAAGAGACCTCTCTACAGGCGCTGGAAACCCTGGCCACCAACCCCTGGATCAATCCAGACATTACTTGGATTTAATCTGTTTCAACTTTTCCAGCAGGTATGGGCCGGATTATTGGGGTCAAAAGGGAACCCAAGCCCTCTGGGAACTCCTGACCCTCATAATCCAGCTTGGTTCCTAGCCAGGGTTTCCTTTGCCAGAGGAAAAAAGGACAGTGTCCCTTTGTTAGGATAGGAGGAAAACCCTACAGGGACATTCCCCACGGATGGGGTTTAGGGCCAAAGCAGAGTCCAGGTCAAACTTTGTGGTCCCTATCCCACCCCGAGAACAGCCACAGTCACGATGCTTTTCTTCCTTTTCCGCACCGCCGCCAGGATCCTCCAGAGGGGAAGGCCAGTTCCACCATCCCGGCCAGTGGTGCCAGAGTGCCTCTGTGGACCACTTTGTATTATTATCTGTTGTAAAGCATTGAGTTCACGCCCCAGAAACATACATGTAAACATTCGCTGCCTGTTGGGGCAGGTCTGGTTGTTGGTGAAATCACTTTAAGAAACAGCAGGTGCAGCTCTATCTCCCGGTGTTTTTGTGGATGAACATCTGAGTGGAGGACTCACACTCCTGGTCTGCAGCACTTAGGAGGGTGGACCGATGTTTCAAAGAGTGTTTTCGTTTGTGTCATGGTGGTTATTTGGATGCTTTAGAAACACATTTAAGAAAGAAAGAAATCGGCAGAGAAACTGCATGGCTGGCTACATCTTTGGATTACTGGACTCCAGGACACCCAAGCCAAACCTTTCAAACCGGGGTACAACTTTGCTGCTGTTAATGCTGCAAAGAGGAACAAAAACATGGGTTACAGCCACGCTGGTCTTGATTGGAAGTAGGATAATGTTAGCTAAGGAGCGGGCCGGTTTCAGAAGCTCCACAGAGGACCCGCCCTAGCAAGAAGCAAGAACGGCTGCAAGCCAACAGCCTTGGCAGAGCTGCTCCTGGTCAGACTTGGCTGGGGTGCAAACACTTGGCACATCCCTCCTGGGGGACATGAGCTGGTTAGTGACACAGTCCCCGGCACCTGGCAGGCTGTCATTGCCGTAGGCTCGACTGAGCTACTTTCTCACTTGCGGCCCAGGAGGGCTCTGCTTCGAGTGCAACTGGGAGAAAAGAGAAACCGGACCCCAAGTGCTGAGAGTGGCCTCACACAATCCTTCTGGAAATGGTCCCCAAACATTGCGGGGAGGGGGGCATCAGGACCCTCTAGGAGGCAAGTAGAAATGCAGACTCTCAGAACATGCCTCCAAAGACCTGGACTCCTTTGGGGGGACCCTGGAGACCTGCATTTGGGAAGTAGCACAGTGATTGTGTGTGGCCTCTCAGCCACACTCTTGAACACTGACTTGGGGTCTGGTACTTTCTGTCTGTAAAGGGAGTAACATTGTGGGGACTGGTAGCAGAAGCTTTGCTCTCGTCAGTGAAACTGTTTGGCGACAGGCCCCCTTTGTTTTAGGACCGCTTTCCTGAGGGCACCGCTGTGGACAACGCCCTTCCCAGCTAGTGTCTTTCACAGCAATGGGACTTTGGCGTCCACGCCCTCCAGCGCCCCTCCAGAGAGGGCTGGCCTTGGGCAGCTCTGAAATCATCCCACTCCTTGTTGGACAAAACCTTGCAGGTTAACAGCCAAGCAAAAGCCCTGCCCCGCACTGTGGACCCAGCCAGTGGGAGGCCGATGTGCTTGTGGGGGCGGGGGGTGCGTGTCGGTCTCATGGGGGTGTTAGTGGGGAGACAGGGACACCTGGGCGCTGCCCCCAGAGGAAGAGATAGAGAATGAAGTCCCGTCTGGGGGAGGCACCTCTGCTGGGCGGGGTGGGGGGGTCTGTTAGGAGGTCCTCGTGGACAGTAGTTATTCAAGCACACGCAGGCCACGGAGAGGGGAGGGGGCCAGTTTGAAAAACAACAAAGCGAAAGAAGAAGTCTCGGGAGACGCCTGGAGCGGCAGAGATCGCATCCCCTGGGTTAGTGCCCGCACATCAGTTTGCGTTTGAGCGGAAGTCACGGTGCTGAGTGTCGATTAGGAGGAAGAAAGCCCCCGGTGCATGCAAGGCAGCCAGGCCTACAACCTATGGGCAGAAAGAGAAGAGAGGAGAACATAGTCAGAACCCGAGCCCATGGACGGGCAGGGGGAGCGACAGAGGCCTGGCCAGGGCAGAGGGTAGGGGACCCACTTTCCCTGCAGAGAGGGAAAAAGGCGTCCCCACTCCATTCCAGGCTTGGCAGCACAGTGAGCTCAGGAGGGACCCGGGACAAAGCACCTGTCCCAAGCTCCGTCCCAAGCTCCCCCGGGACAGTCACAGAATGTTTAGACAGAGGTTGGCCGATGGACCCATGGCCCCTCAGCCCTTGACTATCAAAACAGACTTCCTGAAAGTTCACTCTTCCTGCTTACTGCATTCCCTTCCTTAGGCTCTGGTCAAAGGGCACCCTGGAGTTGGACCAAGGCTCCGAGTTCTCTCCCACCCCGGGACGAGCCGTCACCTGCCACAGTGGGTGGACAGGGGTGCTGCCAGGTGCTATGGGCCTCCGCTCGGCCCGGCCAGAACCCACAAGCCCACAGGACCCTTGCCGGTGGCCATTTCGCCTACAAGAATATCATTTTGGCTTAGGGGAACAAAACAGATAAAAACGGGGAAGCCGGATGCAGAGAGAGAACAGGAAGCAGGGTGCAAACAGGCAGAGAATGAGGGGAATAATGGAAGACACACTATTCCTCCAGAGCCGGACAGGAGTTCTGGAAGTCCAGGTGGCCGTCACGCCCTTTTCCGTAGGGGCGGCTCCGCCAGCGACTGGGGGGTGGCCCGCGACCATTGGGCCAAGTGTGGGAGGAGCGCAGTCCCCAGGTGATGGCACCGGAAGCAGACGGGTGGGGAGGAAGCAGGATGACAGGGCGTGGAGGGACAGCAGCACCGGCCAGAACGTCCGCCACCCCCCGGAAATAAAAAAGCAACAAGACAGATGGAAAAAAAAGAGAAAATGAGAATTAGAGGCGGAATGTGTTGAAGGAGAAATCATGAACTGGCAGGAAGCGCTGACTGAGAGGCTCATTCAGGTCGGCTGGCATGTTTCTCCCCAGTGGCTAACACGGATGGCTCTGGGCAGGGAGCAACACCCATTTGTGGTTCTGTGTCCCACCTGTGAAATGAGAAGGTGGGGCTATATAGTCCTTAGGGAATCTGGAATCACCATCTCCTGAATACCGGACCCACCTAGTGCAGCCTTCTCTTCTGTGGAGGACAAAACCAGGGCCCAGAATATTAAACACGTTGCCCCGAGTCCAGGGGAACCCCAGTCTCCTGGCCTCTGCCAGGGTAGTTCCTGCTGGAAACCCAGTTCCAATGAGCCCTCTTCTGGAGACCCTTTCTCAAGCTCTGGGTGGGCAGACAGGGCCCTGTGCATGCTCCCACAAAGGCTGTTCTTTGTCACAGCACTTAGCATGTTAGCGTCATTCCCTCATCCCTTCACCAATTACACTGCAAGCTCCCGGCTGGCCTTGGCCTGGCCTTGGCCTTCTGTCTCCCCAGCTGTGTAGCAGGTACTCAGCAATGGCTGGGTAGAACCCACACCTCCAATGGCAACATTCTGTTGCACCCTATTTGCACTAGACTCTGACCCCATCTTAATATGGACACTAAGGTGGCATTCTAAAAGACAGTATTCCCAACCCCAAACTGTCATTCCTCTAGGCCGTCCCTGCACATGGCCTAACTCAGCAGTTTATCACATTTCTTCAGTGAGTTCTCCCACCTGCATCCTCTGGTTGGGTGACCCATGCTGGGTCCCCCCTCACCTGTAGCTTGAAACCCAGTTTGGTTTGTTTTTAAGATGGGCCAGCCAACTATATCTAAGCCAAATCCAGCCACAGAAAGATTGATCATTTTAAAGGTTACCAAAAAAATCAAAAACCAAAAAAACCAAGAACATATGATAGAGACCATATGACCCACAAGCCTAAAATATTTGCCAACTGGCCCTTTCTAGACTAGGATGGATGCTGCCACACTCCTGGGCAGCAGGTGGAGATCCAGGTGCACCTTCTCCAGGGGCTCAGTGATGGGACGGCAGGTGCCCCAGGAGCCACCTTGGGTGTGTGGACAGGCTCCTGCCCCCTCAACTACCAAGAGCAGCTCTACTTTATTTGGCTTATATAATGGGACTCTGGGGGAAATCACATCTTTAGAAAGTGCCCTTTGCCTTAAAAAAGTTTAAAACCATTCCTATTATTCAGGGGTCTTTTCACGAATGCACTGCTCAACCCGCTTCCACACCATCCACAAACTAAGAATGGTTTCTGCCTTTCTAAATGGGTTGGGGGAAAAAAATCAAAATATTTCATGGTATATGAAAGTTGCACAAGGGGCACCTGGGTGGCTCAGTCGATAAGCGTCTGCCTTGGGCTCAGGTCATGGTCCCAGGGTCCTGGGATCAAGTCCCCTATTGGGCTCCCTGCTCAGGAGGGAGCCTGCTTCCCCCTCTGCCTGTGCTCTCTCTCTCAAATACATAAAATAAACATCTTAAAAAAAAAAAAAAAAAAAGAAAGCTGCATGAAATTCCAGTTGGCACATCCATAAAGCTTATTAGAGCCCCGCTAGCTTCCCGGTTTGCACGCCGTCCCTGGCTACTCCTGCACCAAACGGCAGAGCTGAGTCCTTGCGACACAGGCCATACTTGGTACTATCACAGCTCTGCGCTGCTGCTGGGACCGCCACAAATCCCAGGCCGGCGCTGTGACTCCAACTTCCCTCCTCGCCTGCAAAGCCTAACGCAGTCCCCACGCTAGAAGCCCACTCCCTGATCTGGCCCCAGCCCCACTTTATAAAGCTGCCGAACTAGGCCTAGAACGAAGGACTTCCTCAGATTCCCACAAGGGGTTCGCAGCAGGGCAGAGGTCTGCTTTTGAGTGTTCAAGGAGAGAACCAGAAGGACAGAGCAAAAGGGGAATGAGACCGAATGTATAGGAGGTGCGAAGGTTGCCTGGTCCCAAGGGGCACAAAGGACTGTGTGATTAAACAGAAGGCAGATGGACTTCCAGCATCAGAGTAGCACAGAAACTCAGGCCACGTGGTCCCCATCCCAGGCGGCTGATTTGGGGGCTAGCAAGCCGTCTCGAGTCTGCACCCCTTTAAGTCAGAGCTGCTCTGGCTTCCAACTGGCCCTATCTGGCCCCTTCCAAGGCAGACTCCTCTTGTCCAGGCCTAGCCTGGGCCCAGCGTCAGCACTGCTCTGGTAACAGGGATATATAGGTTTTCACAGAAGAGGACTGGAGACGCTCGTGTCTCAGGAGTCTCTGAAATAAACAAGATCCTAGTATCTCTTGGGCAAGGGGACGAGTCTAGTCCACTCCGGCAAATCGCTTTGTGTATTCCCCAGATCAAAGTCTTATGCAGACAGGGTGGACGGTGCCCTTTAAGACACCAGGTGAGGCTGCAAAGGCCCACCGAGGGGCTACTTACTCAGCAGACTTCCAGAAGTGGCCGGGGTGGGAGAGCCGCCGGTTCAACTTGGGCAGCTTCTCCAGCATGTCCATCAGCAGGGTGAAGCTGGGCCTCTCCTGCAGGTCGAAAGCCCAGCAGGCAGATAGGATCTCCTGCAAACAGAGCCAGCAAGAGTGGGGGTGAGAGCTGGCTGGAGGGAGGAGGGCACAGCTCGGGTACTCTGCACAGGGACCCTTCGATGCTCTTGAGCTGGGACCACCTCCATCTGGTGGTCCCCTGAAGAGCCTACCCATATTAAGAAGATCGGTCAGGCCAGGAGTAGGGCTGAGAAAGAATCTCAGAAAAGCTCTCATGCTTTCAGTGGAAAACAAAGCTCCTAAGCTTTCTCCCCTTTCCTTCTTAGACCGCCCTGGAATAACAGGAACAAAGCTGAACAAACAGCTAATAGGAAAGAGATCAGAAAACAGATTGTAGGGGCGCCTGGGTGGCTCAGTCGGTTCAGCATCTGCCTTCAGCTCAGGTCATGATCTCGGGGTCCTGGGATCAAGTCCCACATCGGGCTCCATGATCAGCGGGGAGCCTGCTGCTCCCTCTGCTTGTGCTCTCTCTCAAATAAATAAAATCGTAAAAAAGGAAAGACAAGAAAAGAAATGGGGTTGTAGATTTTTCGAAATGGAAAGCAGAAGAGATGTCAGATGCTCAGAATATATATGGGGCGGGGCTGCAACAGAGATGGGAGCCTCAGTGTTACAAGAATGGAGGCTGGGAGTGACCAGAAGGATGAAAAAGAGTACAGCACTTGAGAGTCAGCAGAACACCTGTCCTGACTGCCCCCCAAGGGGCATCAGGGTGGCTCAGGTGGTTAAGCGTTCAATTCTTGATCTCAGCTCAGGTCTTGATCTCAGAGTCGTGAGTTCAAGGCCTACCCTGGCATGGAGCCTACTTAGGGAAAAAAAAAAAGGGAGAGAGAGAGAGAGTAAAGCTCCTCTCACTTTGGTAGCTTGCTGCCTACTGTCTGGATCTGCACACCTTTCAGCCTTTCAATTCAGGAGAGCTCCCGTGAGAAAACAGGCCTGCCTACATAACCAAGCAGAGAGTGCTCACCCACTTAGGCTCAGCAACTCAGGTTTTTGTTCTTAAGTACAACTAGACCTGTGGGGTTGCCCACCAGGTCAGGAAAACAAGAGACCCTGAAGATAAACTGACCAGAACACTGACTCTGGAGAAAATTGTGTGTGTGTGGAAATGTGTGTGTGTGGAAATGTGTGTGTGTGTGTGTGTGTGTGTGTGTAGAAGCTACTCTATCCATAAAACAAGATCAGGGTGCAATAAAAAACATACCAACAAATAACGAAGAGATTGAAATTAATAATATAACTTCTGAAACAAAACATTAGTTAGGAATACTGGCAGATAAAATCCTGGAAGTTCCCCAGACTGTGCCCTCAATTTTAGATAGGGAAGAGAAAACATTAAAGAAGGTAAAAGACATAGAAGCTCACTAAGGACCAAATTCTGTCCAATGGGAGTTCCCACAAGAGAAAACAAAGGAACTATAGAGGAGGAAACTATATAATAAAGATATAATAAAAGAAAATTTCCCAGAAACTTTTGAGAGAAACTAGAATCATCATCTGAAAAGGCCTAGTGAAGGGACCTCATTGAAAAAAGAATATCAAACCAAGAAAAATAAACTTATTGTAAGGCATATTTTAATGAAATGTCAATGTAACAAGGATAAAGAGAAGATCCTAGATGTTCCCAGAGAGAATAAAATAGGGCATCTACAAAAGATTGAGAATTAAGATTAATATCAGGGCGCCTGGGTGGCTCAGTTGGTTAAGCGACTGCCTTTGGCTCAGGTCAAGATCCTGGAGTCCCAGGTTCGAGTCCCGCATCGGGCTCCCTGCTCGGCAGGGAGTCTGCTTCTCCCTCTGACCCTCCTCCCTCTCATGCTCTCTGTCTCTCATTCTCTCTCTCTCAAATAAATAAATAAAATCTTAAAAAAAAAAAAAGAATTAAGATTAATATCAGATTTTTTAGCAATGCACTGGACACTTAGACAACAGAGCAAAAATTTCATCTTCTTAGGGAAGATTATTGTGAACCTCTTGGTGTGAAAACAAAATGAGGACTTGTTTAGGCATGTAAGGATTCAAAGATGATCTCCTATGCATCCACTGGGAGGGAGTTCCTTTAGGGTTCATTCTCATTTTGCTGAAATGCAAATAAAGAAATGGGAAGACATGAGATACATGAAATTCTAGTACTGAACCAGGGATGAATGAAAAGAAATGGAAGGATGACAGCACTACAGTAGGCCTAAAATTCCAGTATCCATATTACAAGAAATCAGTGGGTCCTGAAAAGAATGGAACAAATTCCATTCCATAAGCAGCATGTAGGAGCTGCAAGACCTCAGGAATATGGTAAAGGTGGTGCTTGTGACCATTCTCGGCAAGAAAAAAAGAAAGGCAATCAGAAACTACAGGAAAGGGTGCCTGGGTGGCTCAGATGGTTAAGCATCTGCCTTCGGCTCAGGTCATGATCCCAGGGTCCCGGGATCGAGTCCCGCATCGGGGTCCCTGCTCGGCGGGGAGTCTGCTTCTCCTTCTGACCCTCCCCCTTCTCATGCTCTCTATCTCATTCTCTCTCTCAAATAAATAAATAAAATCTTAAAAAAAAAAGACCAGAGAGGAAAGTCAACTTTCATGAACCAGAAGCTGACTGCTGGAACATTTTCTCTTTGTCCCCGCTTCCCTGCTCCCTGGCCCTAATCTATTAAGAGGCTTCAAAGGACCTGTAACCCCACACTGTAAGAAATCCTTCCAGAACAGAACATGAAAGATTAAAAAAGTTAATTAGATCTTAGCCCCAAGCCAAGCCAATTAAATCTTTCTCTCTGGTGGAGGCCCTGGTCCTGATATTTTTAAAAGCTCCCAGATGATTCTGATTTGTAGCCAGCACTGCACTCTGACTCCCTTGCCTCTGATGGGCTCTATACTCTGCTCCGGGCCTTCCCCCGCTTGAAGACTGCATCTACCGCTCTGTGTGCTAAGATTCTAAGTGTGCAGAGATAGAACAGACTGCTGCCAGGAAAGCAACTCGGTATTTTTTTTTTCAGATAAAACAAACATTTAGGCACACTCTGGTTTATAAAAAGGTGTCCCTCAAGACTTTACTGTAATGGGTAAAAACTGGAAATAACCTAAATGTCCAACAACAGAGAAGTAGTTACATTAGGGTGTAAGCCAGAGGACACAAGGGTAGACAGGCTTAAAAACAAGGACTTGCCAATGATTTGAGATAATAAGCATAACAAAAGACCACGTGGAAAAAAGGTTATGATTTAAAAAATCAGCTACATGTTAAGATCCTCATTTTGTTAAAAGATATGTATTTAAAAAAATCAAGGGGCGCCTGGGTGGCTCAGCCAGTTAAGTGTCTGGCTCTTGATTTTGGCTCAGGTCATGATCTCGGGGTCATGGGATTCAGCCCCGTGTTGGGCTCTGCGCTGAGCGTGGAATCTGTTTGGGATTCTCTCTCCCTCTGGATCATCCCCCCCCGCCCAGCCCCCTGCCCCACTCACGCTCCCTCCCTTCTCTCAAATAAATAAATCTTAAAAAAAAAAAAAAAAAAAAAGACTGGAAGGTAGTAGCTGCTTTAGCTGCTATTTGAACGACTCAATAGCCAGGAGCCCAAACCTCTCTTACCACTAGCCTCCTAAGGGGTCCAGGGCTGTGCCAGGGGAAAGATGGAGGCCAAGAGCACCGGGGTGGCACTCATCACCCACTTGCCTTGCTCAACAGCCCAGATGAGATGCTATTAATTGGCCAAAGAAGAGCCTGGTGTTGGTGCTACCTATCAGCATTCTGGTGTCATTCTTGGAGGAGCAAACTGTAAGGCAGTTTGCACTTCAACCAGATGGCAGGTCCTACTGAGGAATAAAGCACCCTGGGCATGATGTCATAAATGAGCATTCCAAAGATGCCCTAAAGGCTTGCTACCAGTCAAAGGAGGAAAATATGAGAATCTGTCAGGTCCCGAAGGAAGATCAGGTGCCCTTCTCACCGCGCCTGTCCCCATTTGCAGACGGTGACCCTACCAACACCATCCCCTGGCTTCAGCAAGAAGCTCACAGCCCAGTTAGAGCTCAACTGGACCTGCACTGGGTGGTCCCTCCAGGCCCTCCCAGTGCTAGGCCACCCAGATGCTGCCTGGAGCGTATTCACAGCCGGGCTGGTGCCTGTTCGGTCCACTCCTGTCTGATTAACATGGGATGGTTGACTGCACTGAAAACATGGAGCCCTGGGTTCCTCGTACCACTGTGCTGGGGCCAGCAGACTTGTAACTGCAATGCAGAGAAACCACCGAGGTATTTGGAAGCAGAAGGTCCGCACCTGTATTACCATCTGGCATTTTGACAAATACGCTGTGGAAACTTCGATCTGTTCCTGAACAGTTGAGAAGAACACTTTGGAGATCCATTTGATGCCAATGTGAAACCCCATTTGTGTTTGGTGCGGGAGGATTTTATTACATTCTTTCATGTAAGTAACATACAGGGCTCTACTATCTTTTTCAGCTCATAACTCAATTAAAACCATGACCTTTATCTCTTTCCAGTCTTTTTTTATTTTTTAAGACAATGGTTTTTCCAAAGAAAAATAGTTGGGTAATAAAGGACACAGCAAAGAGGCCCTCCTGGCATACTTCTGCCTACAGGCCCCATTTCTCAGGTGAGTGAATGAAGAAGGGCATACGTGCCGTGTGCCCGCCCCCCAACCCCCAGCCCTTCTTCCCCAAGAACAGGTAGCTACTCACAGTGACTTCCTTCCCCAGGCTGATGGAGGCCAGGACACGCTTCATACCCTCTCCGCTTCCAATCTGCCAGATCAAGGCCTCTGCAGCTTGGTTCTTAAAGGGCCAGTCTCTTGCTTGCAGTTCATACCAAACAGTCCTGTGGGGACAGCCCGTGCGGCGTGAGCTGCTGAACCACCTGGCCCAGCTCACGCGCCCAGGGGGGGCTCCTACTGCCACCGTGCCAGGAACCCAGCCAGAGCAGCCAGCATCCTCCTCCAGCTTTCCCCACCCCCCGGGCTTCCCGAAATACTGTGACGGCACCCTGGTGGCTCCTCCCAGGCACAAGCAGACCCATGGCCCAAAGCACCTATTGTGGTGGGAAGTCTGAGGCTGCACAAACTCTGAACAGAGATCCTGTCCAACCTCAGCGGGGCTCAGGCCTACATCCAAGGTTGTTTGAGGAGTAACAAGCACCAAGCCCAGTGCAAGCACCCACGTCAGGAGAAGGAGACCACCCCAAGGGAAGGTACCCTGAGATTACAGGGTGAGGCCCTCACTCAGCCTCTCCAAGCTCCCTCGCCTTTCTCGACTCATCTTGGCCTTCTCCCTTGGCCCCCCACCGCCCAGTGCTGGGGCCACTAGCCACGTGCGGCTACTGAGCGATGGACCCGTGGGAAGAGGACTGCGGGGCGCTGCAGCTGAACATGCTCACCAGATGCTGGAAGCTTTGTGGGAGTAAAAGAACTCCTTAAGTTTTTGTTTTGATGACATGTTGCAAAGCTCACATTTGGGATCTACTGCATTACACACATTATTACAACAGATTTCATCTGTTTTTCTTTTTTTAGTGTGGCTGGGAGCAAACTTTAAATTCTGTATCTGGCTCACGTTCTATTTCTATTCTATTTTTCTTTGGTCAGCTTCATGGGGCACTAGAGGCCGGCTGGCAGGAACCCTGGCTCTCCCAGAGGGACAGTACTGAGCTCTGGTCACCGTCCGCATGGGGCACTGGGTGGGACTGACACCTTAGTCACCTTAGTGAAGGTGTGACTGTCAGTGACTGACACCTAAGTCACCTTAGTCCTCGTGAAGCAACCTTATAGGAGGTACTGTAATTCTCTGCATTTTACAGTGGGGGAAGAGAAAGTCAAGGATGTGGTCCCTTAGCCAACAGCGGCAGAGCCAGGCCTCCGAGCACAACAACACCCCCCCTGCCCTCCCTACCCCCCCTCTGCCAGCAGGACCCCTTCTTTTGGCCACATTTGGCCTCAAAGCCGCAGGAAGGGGGACGTCAGGGGCCGCCTCACCCAAACGCATAGATGTCAGCAGCTTTGGAAAACGGCAGCTGGTCCTCGTCCTTCCCGGGGGTCATCTCGCGGACGATCTCTGGGGCCAGGTAGCAGAGCCAGTCATGGGACAGCTTCAGCTGGTTCTCACGCCTGGAGGCCAAGAAGCCAGGGCAAGGGCATGGGGCCTTTCAGCCAGCAGCCAAGAGGAGGCTGCCTAGCACACCTATGCCCCAGGCCCAGCATGCCACCCATGCGTGGCCCAGAAAACAGCTCGCTTATCTGCACTTGCAGAGGCACCGGGGGGAAGAGGGATAACCAGCTTCTTCCAGGAAAACGGATCAGTAACCAGTATTAGCAGGGAGCGGATTCTCCATCCCAGATAATCAGTCTGCCTGTGTATCTTACAACCTGGCCTGGGGCTCGGTCTCCAGACAGACTGCCACTCTCTCTCCAGGAGGTCCCCCCAGATTCTTGGAGAGAGGCCTTTCTCCCTACCCCGACACTTCAGGATCTGGGGAAATAAAACCTGATGCTCTTCCTCAACACCTCTTCCTCACGGGGCTTGTGAACCCTAGGTCACTCCTAGAATATCTGCCCATTTCCCAAACTAATGGGGACCCAGCCTCTTATGGGGTTCAGCCTGAAAATTAAGTGCTATGTGCGAGGGACCCCAACATCACCCAAACCTGATTCTGGACCAGAACCACAGGACAGGACCTCAGTGAACCTGACCTTTCCTGCAGGAAGGGATGCCCCTCAGCAACGGACAGTAAGAGCTGTATCTCCAGGCCTGGCTGGCACTGCCCAGCCCCTCCCTGTTCTGTGCAGACACCCAAAGCCAACTTACCGGCCCTCTCGGACCACACCCGAGATGCCAAACAGCCCGAAGTCTGTGATGACCACTTTGCCATTGTCATAGAAGACGTTCTTGGATTTGAGATCTTTGTGCACAATGCCCTTGGCATGTAGATAGCCCATGCCCTGGAAAACAGCAAGCCTCATGTCAGTGGGGCGGGAAGATGAGGGATAATGATTCAGCTTCCACCTGGACTGGGCCATGAGCTGGATGCCCTACCCAAGTCAGCTCAAGTAATCTTCAAAATCCTATGCAGTAGGATGATCTCCATTGTACAGACGAGGAAACCAAGCCTCAGAGAGGGGAAGTCACTCGTCCCAGGCCACACAGCAGTCAAGCAGCATTGCTGAGGTTTGATTCCAGGCTAGTCCATGTCACCAGGCTGTCCAACAGGCACCGTGTACTTGGCTCAAGTGTGAAGTGTGGAGATGGGTACGGGGGGGGAGCTGGGGGGGGGGCAGGAAGTATATAAAGAGCGATGATACCCTCCCCCGTGTTAAGTCATATAGGAACTGAGCGATCTACAGGGTCTCTATCAGGCTTTGTACAACAAGCCTCTACGCTCAGGCTAGGCAAGGGCTCAGGGTGGGGAGCTGTTCCCTCTCTCACTGTGTCTCTGTCAAATAAATAAATAAAATCTTAAAAAAAAAAAAAAAGATGTCAAGTGCCCAGGTCTGGAGCACAGACTCCCCGCCCTTCCCACAATTTCACAGTGTTTCCAGAATGGCCCCCAAATCACAAACCTAGATCAAGTTCAGGACCCTGTTATTGTATTTTGAACCTCAAAACACCAAAGATGAGTACAAAAGGAAGTGGCTTAGAAGGTTCCAGCGGAAGGGGAACAGCTTTTCTGCAAGACCAGACAGATTGCTCAGGAGGATTGCTTTTCGGTAAGAGGAAAACCAAACAAGCCAGCAGAGAGGGAGCTTCTGGCTCTGCAGTTCTAAAATCTCTGAGTAGCTTTCCTTGTCTGCCCCTAGAATCTTCCAGATAGCTCATCCATCTGACCTCAGCCGGTCAGCAAGCAGACACGGACTCCCCAGTGTTCTGACCGTAAGGAGAGAAAACTAAATTAGGGGAGGAGGGCAGAGCAGGGGAGACAGAGGGGAGCAGGGCTCAATGAGTTTGGGGGACACTATGAAGCAGGTGTGACACCCAGCAGCTCCCCCCAACTCCTCTGAAATGAGACTTAGCGCAGATGAAGGCATAAATGTGCTATTTTAATTTTGAGGCTTTAAAAGTTTAATTCATTAATTCAGCCACACGGTGACATGTGGAAATCTTGGTTTGCTCATGAAAGTCACTGTGGTTTTTGTGTTTTCCTTGCTACACACACACACACACACGATGGACGGAAGGAGGGAGGGAGAAAAAGGAAAGGTAGGGGTGGAGGCAGGGGAGGAGGCTGGGGACAGGGAGTTGGGGGGAGCTGGTAAGAGCAAGCTTTTCAACAAAAACAAGAAAAGAGGAAACCCGACCCAACAGCAGTCTGGCTTTTACCCAAGCCTGCTTGGTGCTAAAGAAAGCAACTTATAAAGAAGCTTTTCTTTCATTTGTATTTCATTACTTTAAAAAAAAGATGAAAGAAAGAAAAAAGGCTGCCTGAGGGCCAGTCCTCATGCAACCTGGATTTGGATTCTTGAAGGCAGAATGCATGGGTGCTTTCACCCCGCCCTTAATCAGTTCTAGCAGACTCTCCCTGTGTGCCAGGCCCTGGGCCCAACGTGCTCTCAGCAGATTACCCCACTCTACTCTTGTGCCAATCCAATGGGGGAGGCTACGTTGGAATTCCCATCTGACGGGGAAGCAAGCCAAGGCTGAGAGAGACTGAATGACCTGCCCAAAGTCACACAGCTGGTGTGACCAAGATTCGAACTCAGGCCACGTGTCTTTAAAGCCTCCTGCATTCCTCCCCGACCAACTCATCCGTCATCCCAGACTGGGCGTCAGGCTCCTGGTTCCAAGCAAGTGAGGTGCAGACAGAGGGAAGGAGATGGAGTCCCACCCTTGAGGTGCCCCAGCTCAGAGACGACACGAAGCAGGGGGATGGCCAGGAACCCTGGAACCAAGTGGATAACCCTTTACCTTGATGATCTCCTGAGCAATCTGTCTGGTCTTGTTGATGTCCAGAGATGTCTTGGGGTCCCTCACAAATGAGTGCAATGTCCGCCCCTTGCAGAAGCTGTCGAGAGCAGTGGGGTCCTGCTGAGGGGTGGGGCCAGTGCAGCCGAACCCCAGCCCTCGGAAGCCTGAGAGGAGCTGTGGAGAGAGCTGTGTCCCTGGCCTCCGGAAGACTCTCTCTGTCCCCTGGACCGTGGGCACCAGGATCCTCGTTCTCCACCAAGCCCGACACCCATTCCTTCTTGGGCCTGGCCTGAGTGTGCAAAATCACACACACACACACACACCCTGTTCCCTGTGGCTCCGGGCCTGCCCACCCCAGAACAGGAAACCCAGTTCACCAAGGTTCCTGGCAACCCAGAGCAGCCCAGCCCTGGAGGATTCGAGGAAGAAACATGCCCCCTCAAACTCAGAGAAGAACCTGGTCTTTTAGGACTGTAAGCAGGCAAAATTTGGGGCTTTCCATAATGATTCTCATGATCATTTTTACTGTTCTCTGATCACAGAGATTTCATTACAGTAAAGGCGTGTGTAGGAGGGGGTGGCATCACGGGGTGTCAGTGATTACTGGACAACAGGTTCAAGTTTTCGGGCCTCCCCCTGCAAGGACTCCTAAAACCCGGGTGAGCAGGACCCAGAGAGAATGTATGGCTCATTCCCTGTTCCCGGGAGAAGTCCAGGAAGGCATCTCATGAAGGGCCTGGTTTTAGGAAACGTCTCCAAGGAGATAGGATTCTTGGAGCCTCAGACACTTCGAGAACCGGCTGAGGGGTCTGGGATATTGGCTGATGGCTCCTTGTCTGTTTTCGAATCCCCTCAATGTATCCTAAAACGCGAATTTTTTGGGTAACGAACGTTTTGCTATTTTGTTCTATGTGTTCCCTTGAAGCAGACTCAGGTTCTCAGAGCCCCGGGTGGGTGAAGAGATGAATGGACGGACAGCGCTGGGGGCTGGGACCCTGCCAGTTGCTGAGCTGGTGTAACCTAAGGCATCATGTTGTCGGCTTTGGGCTGGCATTTTGTCCCCTTGGTGTGGCGACCTGGGCGGTATCACACTGCTCAGGAATTCTGGTGGTTCTGCTTTACGTCTCTGATAAACAGGCAAAAGGGAAATTAATTTTTACTTAGTAAATACAGTTTGTTTGAGGGGGGAAAAGATTCTTCCAAAGTACAGGGTCTGGCTACAGGCAATGTCGTCAGAATATTAATGAGGGGGCTCTTGGCGGACAGGATTCAAGTGATCTCTAGTTTCTTCTTGAAACCTCCATGTATATTCCAAAATATCTTCACTAACCTCTTATTGCTGTTCCTGACTGTAAAAGTAAACACCCACCAACTTTTTGAATGCCATGGGCCAAAATGTCTCAGCCTCACACCCCTGGTGCTGGGGGAGATGGGCAGTCACACACCAAAGTGGGGGTGGGGGGACACCGGTGAGAACTTTCTGAAGTAGAAACAGTGTATGTCAGAGCATCACATGCTATACTCTCGCCGAGCACGTACCCTCCCAGAAGGTCACCTACACAGAGAAACAAACATGTTCATTACGGCAAAGTGCCCAACAAAAGAGGACCGGCTAAATAAACTGGGGGCGACCAGTGATCAGCCAGAGAGAGAACCCAGAGCCCGGGCCACTTTCAGTGATTCGTGCTGGTTGGTAGCTTGAAATCAGCTGTGGGAAGAGTATTTACACCACAGGAATGAAGAGATGCCACAAACTAGGGCTTCCCTCCTCACCACCCAGAAACTGGTGGTTCCACATTTACGAGCACACTGCTGGGGTCGACGACGTGCCAGGAACGCTGGGTGAGCATTAAAGACTGTGGTGGGCCTCAGACCTGCACTCAACCTGGGGAAAGCAGGTGCGAACCAGGAGGACCTGTGCTAATTCTTACAAAGGAATGGTTTAAAAAACATGAGTATACACAAACTTCTGTATTTAAACAGAAGGCAGGATAAGGATCTGTTCACAGTATCCACCTTGAGGGAGAAGCACCCAGTTGGGATGGGAGGAGACTGGTTTTCACTCTGTACCTTTCTGGAACCTTTGACTCTCTCTATCCTTAGGCATCATTTTGTTTATTTGTTCATGACAATGGGTTACCTGATGGGGAAATTTTGGTTCTCTTCTTTGCACCTTGTCCTCCAGAGCGTCCTGGCAAACAATGGGGCCCCTGGGGAAAGGGTGGGGGTGGGCAGGGGCTTGGTTACCTGGTAATGATGGCCAGGTGGGGCGGGTTCATGCAGGCCCCCATGAAGAGCACCACGTTCTCGTGTCTCGTCTGCCGGTAGTTCATCACCTCCTTCTTGAACAGCTTCAGGTGGTCCTGGTTGTGGCCGTCCATCTCCAGCAGGCGGATGGCCACCTCGCCGTGCCAGCGGCCGCGGTGCACCCGGCCCCAGCGGCCCTGCCCGATGGGCTCGCCCAGCTCCACCTGCTCAAAAGGGATGTCCCACTCCTGCAGGTACACACTGGTCTGGCTGGCCTTGCGAGAGATGGGGCCCCGCCAGGGCCGGCGGGAGCTGGGCAGATCGTCCACCTCGTCCTCGTCATCCTCTGCGTCTGACTTGCCGGCCTCTGGCTCCTCGGCCTGGAAGGAGGGGGAAGGCATAGAGAGGGGCAGCGGATCTGGGGTCAGCCAACTCGCCCTCCCCAGAGCCCCAGGAGAGAGGCATGGGGTCAGGAGGCCCGGGTTCTCATTGCAGCTCTGCACTGGCTTGCTGTGGACAGTGGGCGGGTCACTTAGCACCATGGGGCCTCGATGTCCTCACCAACAAAACATGGCGCGTGGCCCAGGTGGGCCCTGAGGCCCTTCTTCCCAAGAATGCTCCAAGATCTACTGATGAATGACATCTAATCGCTAGGAAAAAGCATTAACATCCCCTGGCATAGACGAATTTGACCCCGCTTACCCTTTCTGGGCATTCCCTTGTTTAAACTGGGTTTCTGACTGTGCTCCAGGCAGGAGTGAAGCAGTCAGTTAACATTCTAAGCCACACTGCATGGCCAGGGAGCAGGTTCAGCTGATACTTTGGTTCAAGGATTAACACAGAGGTCCTTGGGCCTGGCTACGATCAGAATCATTTGGGGGCCTCTGACGTCATACAGATGCCTGGCCCCACCCCAGACGGACTGAACTAGAGTCTCCCACGCTGGGCCTGGGGGGCCTTGGGCTAGGGTGGGAACCATGAGAGTTGAGAGCTTACTTTAGCTTCAAAAATAAAAAACCAAAAAGAAGCCTGCTTCGTTGCATTCCTCATCATTGCTCCTTGCTACGCACCTGCCCGCAGTGGGCTCCTAAGATGGCCCTTGCCAGGGCCTGGCATCCACATGCTCCCCACACCCCTGTGTGTGTGCTGAGATGAGGAGGAGAGGAGAGAGAAGGCAGGGTCTCCGGGCTGCGCGTCATCCTCACTCACCTCCACATCGTGATCCTCCAACACGTCTGCTTTTGGCTGGTTGTCGAGCCTAAGAATCAAACAGTTTGTCAGGGAGACCCTGAGTGCGGGCCACTCTGTTCTCAGCTAGGCAGGGCACTCCCAGGTGAGGTCTGAGAGAGGGCTACTGGGCCCTAATGTGACCCACCTGTCTGTGGGAAAGGCAGTATGGATGCCAAAGAACCAGACAGGAGGCTAAAGACCAAACCCCATTTCCCTTCTTTGGCCTCAGCCTTCTTCAGACTAACCTGAGGGTGGTGGGGAATGAGGGGTGGGCAGGAACCACCAAGGCCCTTTCAAATCTGAAGCCCGGTACACGGGGTTCTGAATGAACACACACACACACACACACGGGACTTGAACTTCTACTTGAGAACCAGCTCTATCACCTCCTAGCTGTGTGACTTCATGTAATTTCTTAACCTCTCTGTGGGGGCTTTTGCCTCCGTACATGAAGGATGACACCTACTGCGATACCTACCTTCACCAGGCTGAGGACTATGTGAGGAAACGGGAGTCAAGGGCTCAGCAGAGCCAGACATGGGGAAGGGGCTCCGGAAACAGGAACTATTTTTAGTAGGTGTCTCTAACTCCGAGTGGCCTTTGCCCACCTCTCCTGGGTCATAAGACTGCCCCAGGTTCACACGTATCCCTCCCCATGCAGACTGCACCCACAGGAGGCTAATAAAACCCTCTGGCCAAGTTCAATTAGCCCAAGAAGTATCCCACCCGGCTGGCTCAGGTACACGGCAGCGTCCAGAGCGGGAGGTCAGACACACGAGGAGGGATGGGAGGTGGCCAAGGGTGCAGGTCAACCTTTAACAAGTCCCCACGGAAAAGAAAGAGAACACAGAATAGGAGGCCTACCGGGTGCTGTCTGCCGCATCAGGGGATGGGACTGCCTGTGGAAATGCTGAAATGTCTAGAGGAAACAAAAAGCAAACACAAGGCCTGAGACCCCCTTCCCCCACCCCCTCCCCCAAAGGACACAGTGCTTGTGAAGTCGGCCCACCCAGTGGAGTGGCTCCTCCCTGAGTGGCCAGCCCCTCACAGGGCCGCGTCCCTGTTCACCCGGCCACTGCCACTCCTCAAACGGGACATGGATGCAACCTTCACAGCACTTGGTTTTGCCCACACAGCTGGGTGCTGGAAAGGGCCTCCAGGTGAGGGAGGAGGTTGAGATTCTCCAGTGAACCCCATTCCCCTGCGGCCAAACTGCCCCCTAGGAGCAAGTGGTAAAAGCAAACTGGGTATTACTGACTGGACGTGGGGGTTCTGCTCAGAGGCAGCAGCTGGTTACAACAGCCCTTGAGAGCAATAAGACTCGTGGGGGGCTCAGGCCAGCAGAGGCCCAGGGCAGGGCTCGCAGGGGGCTCAGTAGCGACACCTGGTGCCTGGCTCAGCAGCTGGCATTTCTGGTGGGAGCCAGAGGCCCCGCCCCCTTGGCTTCCAGGTTTGGGAGACTGGCGGAGCAGTTCTCAGCGGAGAGGAAGAAATGCACAGTCCACACCTACAGGGGCCCGGATATTGGGCAGGTGGGGCTGACCCCGAGCCCGGGGCTTTCCCAGTTTTAGCACTGAAGTCCCTGACCCCTCCTAGCCTGCGCACACCTGGGCAAAGCCATACGGATAGTCCTGTAAGAACTTACAAATGCCCCAAATTGCTCCCCTAATGGAGCTGGGTTGGAGAACAGAAAAGCCCGGACTAACCAAAATATCATGACTTCAAGACAGGTCTGTTTAACCCAGGAGAAAAACAATTAGCTACAGTCTTTGTCTAAACACACTGAGACTTCATATGGCTAAATTAAGAATTAAGGTTGCCGATTATGTATACGAATGCTTGTCATCCTCAGCTGGAGAAATAAGTACTGACCACATAAACTCCTTGGGGGCAGGAATATGGCCAAATGCAAAGGTTGGCACGTAGTGGGTGGGCAAAACAATTTTTGTGGAAGGGAATCAATGAGATTGAAAGTTGTCTCCTTGAAACTTTCTAAAATAAAGCTGCATTTTATCTTATCGCCAGCAGATGGCGTGAGGCAGCAAGGCTCAGGAAGGTGAAACTCGCAGACTTTTCCAAACTCGCTTCTCTTTCTAAGATAGCTTCTCTAAGTAGCTTCCTTGTCATGATGTAGGGGAAGATATCCTAACAGATGCTCATAAGGCATTGGCAGAAAGGTCTCTCCCTTCATTCTGCAAACAGGATTTCTGCCACCTCCCAGCCGTGTGACCCTGGGTAGGTTGCCTATAGTCTCTGTTCAAGAGGCTGAACAGGGCAGATGCCAAGGGCCCTCCCAGTAGATCACTGCCCCTGTGAAGGACCCCCCTCAAGGCGACCCACCCTGCTCCCTTTCCCAGCCGTGATACACAGCAGCTGTCAAAACAAGTGTATGTGAGACTCAGGCACCTGAGAGGAGAGGGTGCCCAGGGGGGCTGGACAGAGGGCTCACGGCAAGGGGCAGTTAGTGGAACCATGCAGAGGACTCACCTGGAAAGATAAACTGCTGTCTATGATGAATGAAGTAGGCAGCTTTAAACAGAAGAGGAGGTGAGTCACACACACAGAACAGCAAATGCAGGGGCTTGGTGAGGGGGGCTGGTTACAGGGTGGGGCAGAGCAGGGTGACCCATGCAGGAAGGAGAAAGGGAGCTGGAAGGAAATGGGTGCTAGCAGGAGCCCCCAGCAGGGAAGGGGCTGGCCCCGGAGGACTTGCCGCAGAGGCCTGGCCCATTCCATTCGCCTCCCAGGCTCGCTTCTCTGTCAAGTGCATGTGAGCCCAGAAGGGTGAGACACAAGGGGGAGGAAATAGTGCCTGTGAACGCCGGCTGGGCCGCGTGCAGAGGAGCGGCCTCCCTTGGCCCCACACTCACCCCCAGAGGAGCTGAGGCCTCAGCAACCCGACCTCACCATCCAAAACAGAACAAAAACCCACCTCTCTTAATCGGGACTAAAGGGGATGCGCTGGGGGTCTGGACTCTGAGAGCTGTCATATGGTAAAACAGGGGTACAGATAGCCTTTCCCCAGGTTTATTCTTCGACAAAAATGGAAATGCCCCCCCAGAGTACAGAGTGGGTACATGGTAGGAGTCATTCCTTCCCCAGGTTAACCACAGGGCCAGGCCCCAGGCACGGCCATGACCAGCAAGATCATAGATCCTGGACAGAGTGAGGGCTCTGTGCAAAGGACAATGAGGGCCCAGCCCACAGACGTCAGGGAAAGCTGAGAGGCTCTGGCTGACATCACAAAATGGACTTTTTCTGTGGCTATTGTTTTTCAAACAGGGCCTTCCTTTTAGAAAAACCCAAGCTAGAAGTTTAGCAAAAGATCCAGTTTCAGAGCATAATGACAGAGCAGAGTGCAAAGAGACGGTCACTCCAATGGGCTGTGGCTCTATTGCGTGGGGGATGGGTGTGCTCGGGACGATGCAGGAGATCTCCAGCCAGGCGCATGGCAAAAGAGAAAAGATTCCTACAAAATCTCAGTCTCCCAGCACCCCTGAAAGAAATCCCTAGGACCCTGGTAAAAATGGGTCTAGAGAGGCTGCCTGGCCTCCTGCTGGCTGCACGTGGCCCCAGCTAAGGGTCGCCTGGCACAGAAAAAGCTGTGCCTCTGTCCTCCCGGGCCTGGAGCCCCAAGGGCCAGTGACAGGTGGGGCCTGACCTGACCAGGCCCAGAGCAAACTGGAGTGTCCCAGGGGCTGCTCCTTCCTCCTGGCTGCCAACCGAAATACCCAGAGGGTCAAGACCAGCTGCAAGGAGCTGCTAGGGGGGGCCAAGGCCTGGGCTCATCCTGAAATAGGCGAGTGGGCCTTGCTCTGTACCTTGGAGAGGTGGGACACCCCAGGCCTGGCTGAGAGACGGGGCCCTGCAGAGCATGCACTCCCCCTAAAACTCAGTGTCCGCATCTGCACAGTGGGAATAACCTAATCCCAACTTCACGGGGGTCTCCTGTTTTATGGGAACAAAGAGGGAACAAAAGCTCCCCCTTAAGCAGCTTATTCAGATCACAGAACAGGTAAGCAATCGAGCCCCAGTCCCTCTCCCAGGCCTTCTGGGCCTGCCCCAGCTCCCTGTGCTCCTGCCAGGCTTTCTGAGCGCTCAGAAGCTGAGTGAACAATGCCCATGAGATCCCATGCACAGGAGGGCAGTATGGGGATTGTGTCAAGAATCCAGGCTTTATGCCAGACAGACTTGGGCTTTGATCCTGGCTCTGTCCCTTACGTGTTATAAAGCTCAGGGCGAGCCACTTCCTCTGAACCTCAGTGTCCCTATCTGTAAAATGGGTGTGGTAACAGCACCTACCGCAGAGCTCTCATCAGGTGTAAATACGGTAACATACTTGAGCTTGGCACAGCGCTTGGCTCCTGGTAAAGGCTCTTAGTGGTGGCAGTGTTTGACCTTGAGCCTGTTGGTGTGTGCTGAGAAGGGACACTGGACCCCATCCTGAAGGCACATAAAAGCCCCGAGGTGTGGTACCTGGGAAGTTGAACCTGCTGTCCCGTTGGCCAGGAGAGGGGTTGGGGGGCGTGGTGGCACTGGATGGATTGGATGATGTTGGGAAGGGTGCTGGCGAGGAGGGCGTGGAGGATGTGGTGGAGGATGGGTTGCTGCTGGAGTCCAGGTGGTTCATGGCCGGAGGATGCTCCTGTGGGACCAGAGACACCAGAAGTGGGCAGGGACTGTCACGGCCCTGCCTGGCCTGCCCCTCCCATGCCCCATGCTGAAACCCTCCCCTTCTGCCTGAAAACGAGGTAGTCTGCCCAGGGCATCCTGACATTTTACTGGTCTAATATTCAAGACCCTCACCTTGATGCCCATCCCCTAAGGGACTCCTGCTCATCTTTCTTGAGCTCAAACATACTTTCCTCCCAGAAGCCCTTCTCAAGCCCAGTGGGGACCATGCTCCTCCTCCTTATCCTCCTATAGATAGCACTCTTCCTCAGGGCACTTGAACTTTGTCAAGTGCATCTATCTTGGGGGGTTTTCTGAAGAATTTCAGAAAATTCTGCGTGTCCTGTGAGGGCAGGGACCGCGCCTGCTCATCATACACCCAGTGCTTGGCTCTGAGCAGAGCACACAGCAGGGTTTTTTTTAATGAATACAGTCTCTGACAAGTGTTTAGTGTGTGGTACACAGTGGTGTCTAATAAATGCTCCCTCCACTCTTTTGCAGACCTACTGGCTAGGACTGCCCAGGGGTTTGGGCCCTAGCAAGGTCAAAGGGCCAGCGGAGAGGGGGCTGCAGGTGGGACTCTGGCCCTGACCAATTTCCCAGACTCAAACTCCAATCTCTCAGGGGACAGGGTTGGAATTCCTTGGCCAAGAAAGTTGCAGGAGCTGCATGCTCTTCCGACTAAGCCAGCTCCTGATCTCGGGGTTGTGAGTTCAAGCCCCACATTGGGTGTAGAGATTACTTAAAAATAAAATCTTTAAAACAAAAAGTTGGGGCCAAATTAGGTTAAAGGCTGAGTTCTACAGGTTTCTCTTTTGCAGGCCCTAAAGGCTCTCGGGTGTCCAGGGGACCCCAGAACCCACCAAAGCTACAGTGGGTCTCACAGTCCAGGGACAGCCCCCACCACCTGGTGCCACAGGCCGGTGGGGGAGGGAGCTGGGTCCCCTGAGCCCTTCCTCTCCCCGCTCACCCTGCAGTGACCCCGCAGTGATCCCTGTTCCTCAGGGCTGGGCCAGACCGGGGAGGGGGAGTAGCTACGAGGCAGGTTGAATCCCAGCTCCTCCACTCAGCACCCATGTGACCTGGTTCAAATCAGTCCACCTTTCTGAGCCACAGTGGTTCTCGATAAAATGGGGGTATCTGCTGCTGCTTCATGGGCTCAGTGTTTACTACCAACACGTCCACACTGCATATTGTGTGCCGGACTCCGACGCAGGCACCAGGGACCAGGCGGGAGCAAGATAACGAGGCCCTGCCCTCCAGAGCAGCCACCTGCTGGGACACAGGCCCTCAGCAGGCAGACAGGGGACCACACCCTGCAGCCGGGCCACGAAACACTGGGAAGGGTGTGGTGCAGCCAGGGACCCTGGTCCTCAGCCCGCATCCCGGCAAGGCCTCCCCGAGGACTGAGTGTGTAAATGCTGAGAAGTGTGTTTCAGGCAGAGGGAATGGGGGGGTGGCAACCGAGGCGCCGAGGTAGGAGTGGGCAGAGCCACTCTGAGCAAGGGCAGCTAGAGAAGAGGCTGGAGAGACAGGCCGGCCTCTGAGATGACTGGGCCAAATGCACGGCCCTCAGCACAGTGCCTGGCGAGAACTCAGTGACCATTAGCTCGTGTTATGAGAATGACCATAAATCGGGGTGAGGGAAGGACGACAGCTGGTCAGTGCCCTCGGTGAGGTAAGAAAAGGCACCACCCCGAACTATGTCAGGTCAGGGCCGGGCAGGTGCGTGCAGGAGGGCCTCCTGGAGGAGGAGGGGCTCTGAAGAACTGACAAATGTGGGTGTGGGGGGACGGTGTAAATAGGGGTGTTCGTCTGGTGTTTGCCAGACAAGATTACAATGCTGGCAGGGTGGGAGGGGCAGACGGGGGTGCCTAGCGTCCCTCGCGAGGAAGTGTGTATCTGTGACAGGCTGGACAACGCTGCTCCAGACAAGCAAGTTCGTGAATGTCTATCCCCTCGTTACCCCTACAACACCCTGTCAACGAAGCATGATTATCCCCACTTTCCACACTAGGAAGCTGAGGCTCAGAGAGGTAAGGGAACTCACCCAAGGTCCCACAGACAAGAAAGGGGACTGACTAGTCGGGACTGGAGCTCAGCTGTGGTCCTGCACCTCTCCACTCCACCTCTCTATCCCTGGTGGGAACACCACCGTGGGGGGAAAATGCAATGACAGGCGGAGGGAGGCTGAGAGAGGACACGAGCGGGCCCATAAGCGCCGTCAGCTCTGAGGCACTGGCCTCCCTTGTCGGGCAGTAAGATGTGGAGCAGCGACCCCCAAGCTGCACCTTCTGGGTCCCTGGTGTTAATGGGCCGTACCACCTGCTTCTCTTCTCCCCACCCCAACCTCTACCCAGTCTGGCCCAAGCCACGGAGAAGCCAGTCGCATGCCCCTCCGTACGGAGGCAAGGGCATGCTAAGCCCTGGTCTGGGGCTGGGGCACAACACACTTGAAAACCCACAGCCACACCAACAGCAGCCCGGCGGGAGGCCACCAGCTGCACGGTCACCAGGGGGCTGCCATCTGAAGCCACCACGAGCACAGACGTCTTACAGACACCATGCACTCCTGTGTCTGGGGGCCACGAAAGGCCTGTTAGACTCTCCTTTCAAATCTGTGTATCGGCAGAGGAGCCCTGCTCCGGGCCTGCCCTCGCTCACAGGGGGGCCCTGTGCTCAGGGTCCTCATCTAAAATGGAGCTGATAGCAGCATGTGATTTTTAGAGCTATTGTGAAGATAAAAAGAAAGATCAATGAAAAAAGTTCCCGACTCACAGTAAGTGCCCGGGAAATGTTCCGTTCAACTGGGGAAGGAGGTCACGGGCAATTAACTACGATTTGGACATCAACATGAAGTCTATGAAATGGCTAACGACAGGATCCCTGAAGGCCACCCTCTGGCCTTGGGTTGCATGCCCCACTTCCCTGCCAGACCCCCACATTATAGGAGGAACCCCGGGGCAGGGGGCGCTTCTCCTGGCAGAAACAGCTGACCGGCGTGCCACCGCCCGTATACCTTCTTTGTCAGTGCTTTGGGGAGGGTTCCAAAATGGGGCTCAGCTGCTCTGTCCACCGGGTTGTTGATATCCGAGGGGACAGATTCCGTCCTCCGAAGCCTAGGTTCTAGGTAAAAAGGAAAAGGGGGAACCATTAGCAGGGAGCAGATCAAGCTACAGAAAAGTCCAACCCAGCCCCCGAAAGCAGAGAAGAGTGGAACACTCACGTGGGAGGAAGGATATTCTACAGGCAGGGGCTTCCTTTGTACACTTGTTATGACATTTCAATCTGTGGAAAGAAGGCGGCAGGGTCAGTGCACGGAGGGCTACTCGGGGCTCCCAGGGCATGCACGGGAGCTCCGGGCAACACTCACTCTCGACTGCCTTGATCTCCACGCACTTCTCATCAACTATTAACCCAGACGTCTGGAATATTCCACGTTGATCATCCTAGCAGCTCCTGTCTGCCTAACCTCCCAGCAAAGCAGTTTTAATCATACCCATTTTAACTTGTTGTGGGTCACACGTCTATTTCTCTTCTCTAAAGAAAAGGACACCCTCCACTCACATTCAGAAAACTGGAGACAAAAATCTGAACTTACAAAAAAGATGAATCAGAAGGAGAGAGTGTCTACATGACCAAGGGATCCCAGGGATGCAAGCGGCGGCCCCTCCCGCTGCATTCCAACACGGGCCACATGGTCTGAGGGTCAGCACAGGCCCAAATGGAAAGACCTAGGCCCTCAGTTTGGTCCTATCTGCTGCACCCTGTCTTGGGGTTCTCGACAATCAAATGGGTTGACAGTGGGGCCCTACCAACTTCACACCACGATCGTCGAAGAGCGTGGGGCTCAGAGGTCATTCTACGCTCTCCGTGTGAAAGGCATTTTGAAAGGGAGCGGGAGGTCCCCAGTATAAAGCCCGGAGCCACAGAAGACCTAGACTGGTGGAAAGTTCTGGTGGTGTCTCCTTGGTGGTCAGGGGAGTCATCAGGAAAACACCATTTATCCAACGGACATGCATGAGACCTGTCGCCTCTGTTCTGGCGGGAGCCTAAATGCTTTTCCTACACACACTAGCTCAGAATCTGGAAGCCATCCTGATAGATAAAGGACCTGGAATCATCTGCCCAGTTGTGAAAATGAGGCCCAGAAAGAGCAAGCATTTTGCCCCAGGTCACAAAGCAATGGAGGGGCAGTGATCCGGGAGCAGAGACTCCAGGTCCATCCTCTGCAAGCAACAAAGGACACTCTGCCCCCAGCGCTGTTCCCTTCCTTGTCCTTCTGTCCCACCAGAAAGCACAATGGTACGAAACAAGAAAGCTGTGTTTGTATAGAAGCAACATTCTCCCTGAACTCTCCTCTTCTGTGAACACCACGAGCCATCTCTGTTTTCACCCCCGCCTGACCCTTCTCCCCATCTTGTGTGCTAACACATGAGGATAAACTTCAGAACTCCTCAGTTTCCAGAAAAGTCCTCCCACTCCTCTCGGACTTTGTACAGGGTACAATACCTGGAATGCTCTTTTTTCCTTGGTCTCCCTGGTAAACTTCTACTCAACCTTCAAAGCCCACCTAAAATTTCCCCTTCTTCTGGGAATGCTGCTCGATGCTTCCTTCATCTCTCTAGAGAGGGCTGATTATACCACAGTGTGCCAAATGGGATTATAAATAGTAGCTTTAAGAACTCTCAAAGGGGTTCCCGTGAACTCTGACTTAACCTAAGGCCAAGATGAATCAAGTAGTAGGACTTGTACTAAACTAAATGTATGGAGTTCACTCGCCTCTCCCACCCCTTCCACCCTCCGCGCATCACCTGCAATGCTTGCATTTCACTCCAAACATCATGCTCTTCTGGCACACGTGGCAGACCTGGGACAGCCAAGACTTGGTGGAGAACCTGCAGGAGGTGGACACAGGAAAACGCTCAGTGGCTCAGAGACCAGAGCCTGGAAACCAGGAGACTGGGTTCCATCCCGGAGCGACCGGTGCCCTCTCCCAGGGCAGGGATGCCCAGGCCCACTGCCTGCTCCTGGGCATTCAGAGTTCCCAGCCACAATGTCATCCTTGCCAAAATCCCAGTCAGTGTGGTCACAGATGCCAGCTCTCCGGCAGCAGCCATCGAAATTACAAGTGCGCATACCGAGCGATTCCCGTCGTAGGAATTGATCCAACAGACACTCCCGCGGGTGTCCAATGAGGTACAGACAAGGTTACTCCCCACCGCGGGTCTGCAGCAGTAAAAAACTGAGAACAGCCTGTGTGCTGTTGAGGTGACAGGCGGCTGACGATGCAAAGTACCATCCAACCGCACCATTGGACACCGTGGGGCCAGGAAACAAAATAAGAAAGCTCTTTTTGTGCAAATACGGAATGATCTCCAAATTACATTATCAGGGAAAAAAGTACAACATAACTCCATCTATACGAAGTTCAAATACAGGAAAAAGTAACCAATGAGGACAGACGTGAACAGTAACCCCGGGGCGGTAGTGTGATGGACCTGGAGGGGCCAAAGATCAATTTTTTGGAGGGCTAGAATGTTCTGGAGCTTCACCTGGGTGGTACACATGGGTGTATCCACATATAAAAATGCATTTGGGCTCTCAGCTTTACGTAAATGATGCCTCCATCTTTACAAGAAAAGAAGCAAAGAATAGAACAGTGTGTATAATACACATACGTATTTGCTTGTATAAAAATATCTCAAGAAACCACCAAGATCTGCCTACAGGGGGACCCAGAGGGCTGGGGGCAGCAGCAGGAGGGGGGCGCGTGGATAACCCTCTTCACCTCTTGATTTTTGAACACCTTTCAATCCAAACTAAATCAAAAATTAAAAAGTTAAAAAAACACAAAAGATAGATTGGAAGGAAGGACAGGGGTTGAGTGGGTGCTGTCCGGCAGAGAAAAAGCAGAAAAAGTCTAAGGCAGTCCACAGGGTGGAGAGGCCGAAGGGCAGAAAGAACTCACATTGTTGGAGGAACAGATTTTTTTGAAAGCAGAGCCTATCATAGTAACAACCGAACACAGAACGATTTGTAATGCATCCAGGGGTCCCCATCGTGGTGCCTCAGCCACAGCCTCTCTTCCGCAAGACTCCGGTGTACAGGGATCAGCCCTGACGAGTCCCCAGAGGGGCCTGGGCGCCGGCCAGAGGACTCAAGCGCTATCTTAACCGGCAGCTTGACCTCAGGCAAATTACTCAGGCCCCAGAGCCCCAGCGGGTCTCCACCTCTGGGCAAGAATTCCAGGCCAGCCTCCCAGGCTCACTGCAGCTCAGCTCATGCTCCAGGAGGAAACAAAAGGCCGCTGCAAGTCGCAAAGCTCTTGACAAGCGTGCCCTGCTGTGTTCCCGACAGCCTTTAGCGGGGACGGCCAGGGCACAGGCAACCCGAGACGTCGTTTTGCAGGTTGTCCAGCATGACAGACCTGCTGTTTGTGACACACGCCAGCCTCACAGGTGCTGAGGCCAAGCCTTCGGGCCAGTCCATGTCGTGGGCCCATATCAGCCCATGCCAACACGCACCGGCCACCAGAGTCCCTAGAAGTTGTTGGAAATCCAGACTGCCAAGCCGAGAACTTTAGGGATGGGCCACGGGAGTCTGGGGTTTCAAAGCTTCATGGGCTCTGATGTGCGGCCAGCTGTAGGCCCCGCATGATCTCATGCTGGACCTGCAGGAAGCTCTCAGCTCCTCCTCCCTGAGACCAAGGCCTGTGTTTTCCCTCAGTGCAGGGGTGGGGTCGGGGAGGGTCCAGCAAGCCCATACAGCCACTGGTGACGGGTAGCGGCTCCAGGTGGGTGCAGGGCTGTGTTCACAGAGGTGATGGACAGACCAGAGGCAAAAAGCCCTGAGAAACAGGGATCAGGACAGATCTCCCCGCCGCCATGAAGAGCCACCCCTCAGCGGGGGCCCCAGCCCATGCAGGCCCCAGCCCAGCTCTGGGCACCACCCCCCCATCCCAGCCTGGCTGGACCTACCTGTGAGTCACCGACAGCCCGATATCCCTTCGTACCATCTGTGGGGATCCATGTGGGAGATCTGCAGGGAAAGAGGCCAGGTCGGCTGAGGAGGCCTGTTTCCATGGCCCTCTAGGTCACAGATCACAGGCTGGGTGGGTGAGAGGACTTAGTGAACAGTAGATAAAGGTGTCCCTGAACATTCAAAACAGGGACAGGCCAGGGAGACCAACGGGGCAGCGTAGCTCATGCTTGGCCCTGCTATTCCTGGGAATGTTACTGCCTGGTCTCCGCCCATGGTTCGGAAACCATCCCTGTGTGGCTCCTAGCTTCAGGGGAAGGCAGCCTTGAGAGGCAGAAGGCAAAGCAATGGTGAGGACAGAAGTCTCCGCCGATGTCCACCGATGTCCACCTCTTGCACTCCCGCATGGACGCATCCATAGGTCACTGTTTGCAAGCGCTTAATGCTGGTCTCTTGTTTAGTGGGTAGGAGGTCTCTGGCCCTCGCCGGCAGACGGCTTGGGGCTGGTTAGCACACCCAGTACCTTTACAACCACAAGCACCTGGAGATTTTGCTCTCAGAGCCTCCAGTGCCAGACCCTGGCAGGCAGAGCAAGGACACGGTGAAGCTTCACCAGAGCCCCACATGGGCCAGTCCCACTGGCTTCCAGAGGAGTCTCACTCAGGCCACGAGCTTTGAGGCGAGCATTCCGTCTGCCTTCCTGGAGGGCACCCTAGGCTCTCCCTGTCCTAATCCTGCATTCCCCATTAGAACAGCATCCCCAGTGTTCACGCCTTACAGGTCAGGCAGTGGAGGGGCAGCTGGAGGCGACCCCTTCATGGCAGCCCACATGTCCCACCGCCTCCTGCCCTGTCTCTGCCTAGGCACCCCTGCTCCTCCCCCTCTTCCTGGTCCTGCTTCTGCCCCTACTCAGCACCGCCTAGCTCCCCCTGGAGGACGGGCTCTCAACTGTGTCCTGATGGGCTTCAGGGGTTCTGGGAAACACTCTGGACTGGTAAGCTTTGTGGGCTTTTCCCTGGAAGGAGGATCTAAACTGTTATCCAGTTATCAAAAGGAACCATAACCCAGATAAGTCAGGAACATGGTGCTTGAGGGATGTGCGGCTGTCTCCTGTCCTCGGAGTCGGCAACAACCCCCCCCTCCAAAATGTGCTGGCCGGGCACACACCTGGTGCTCATTAAGTGCTGGTTCACCTAATGCCAAGTACCATATACCTGAGCACATAGAGAGGGTGAGCTGCAGGTGCTGACTCCTCCTTCCATACCAAGGGGAGTCTGATCAGGACCAAAGGGCCCTCTCTACCCCGTGGTGATTCAGGAACCCACCATCACACTAGCCCAGCTCTCTCTGGCACGTCTGCCCTGGGGCTGACTTGTCCCAACTCCCTCCTAGGACCCTCGTCACTGGGAGCAGCCAAAGCCAGCAAAGCACATGGGTCCAAAAGGGGTTAGGCTGCCAGCCTAAGAAAAAGGGACTCTAGAAAAATGAGATTTCAACCACATATACTCGCTATGATTGACTTGTAATGTCTGCTGCGGGCGTGGGACAGGAGGGAGGGGAGATGGCACGTGGGTCAGGCATCAGGTGCCCCAGATCTAGATGAAACACTCGCCCTGAAGTCTCACTGCTGCGGTCCCTGAGTTACTGCAGCAACCGGGAGGCTGACAGGACGGGCTGTCCCAGGGATGTGGGTGCTCGATTCTCCCCCAAGGTGCTGAAGTTTGCTCCCGTGCCCCAGGGAAGGGGCAGTGCAGCCTCCCTCCTTGCTCACCCTATGCCCCCATGGTGAGCCGGCAGCCAGCTTCATTTTGGCAGAGCTCTGGCCTGCTATCCTGCCCCCCCCCCCCCCCCCGCTGTCACTGAGACCCTGCTGACAGCTCGGTCACTCCGCTTAGCCAGCTCAGGATAGGACAAAAATAAATGGCTATTTTGCTCAGGCCCAAACCAGACATCTCTGCATTTCCAGGGATATAATTCAAAGCAGACCCCAGAGGCATGGTTGCTGCCCTCTGCTCTGCCTCAGGAGAGAGAAGCCCTACAGCACAGTCCAGTGCAAGACCCTGCTTCCAACCTGGAGGTGGACGGCTGGAAAAAGGGATCAGGGGCCGCTGGGGCTCCCTCCGCCCCTCCCAAAGGGGCCTTCCCATTCACACCCTCCCATCTCCTGGGGCCTCATGCAGAGTCAAGCCACATCCCTGCCTCTGGGTTGCCTCTCTCCTGAGAAGAGGGGTCCCAGGACATCAGCTGACATCCACCTACACCAGACCGATGGCGCGCCTCTGGGTAACTGCAGCAGCCCAGTACGCAAGGCTCCCTGCCAGAGGTCACCTGTGGGGATGGCCAGCTACAGACAGGGCCTGAGTGGGGACTGTCCACGGCCCAAGATGCTCTCCAGGCCTCTGCTTCACAGAGAGCGGCTCCTGGCTGGGCTGAGGCCACCTGTCCGAGCGCTATTTCCCGAGGCGTTTCCCAGCACCTCTGCTGCTGGACGGTGGAAAGGCCGAGTAGGCTGAGAGAGGGTCAAGGAAATCCACCCCTGACAGGGACAGCAACACAAACACGATTCTCCCGGGTGGCAGAGGGGATGAAAATGAATCACTCTTACCAAACCTGCAGGAGACAAAAAAGAGAGAGTGGGATGATGTCACCATGCTGACTCAGCATGTTCCCCAGAACCCCCCGCCCCGCCCCGGAGGGAGCGGGCAACATGCTCAGTTGAGGGCTTTGAGTCCCTGGTGTGTGGGGCCAAGCTGGCCGCCTGACTGTGGAGACGGTTCCTCGATGGAAAGGGCTAGAAGTTAGCCCCCGTGGGCACTGGAGCTACCCCCGTGCTTCGCGCTTCCTACATTAGCTTGTCTAAGCCTCGCCAGACACGCAGCCTGGTAGGGTTCACTCCGTTTCACAACTGAGCAAACAACCTCACAGTCTCCCCAGGTCACACACCCGCAAGCGGGGACAGCCTGCCCAGAGCCCTGTGGGGAGGGGTGCTCAGGGTCCAGGCAGGAGACGGGGAAGTGGCTGGGGCAGGAGGACGAGAACAGTTGTGAGCACAGAAAGGCGGCCCTCAAGGAGGGCCAGATGGGGACATGCCCTGCGCCAGCCTCCTCAAGGGGTGCCACTATCCCGGCAGCGAAGAAAACTGGGGGAGATCCAGGCCACCTAGTCCACCCTCTGGGCTCACTGAGCAACAAGGTGACCTGAGTGTCCGTGTCAGCACTAGTTCTAGTGGCTCTGTGTGGACTCGACTCAGAATCCCAGGGTGAGGCCCACCTCACCAGCTGTGGGATCTGAGGACATGGAGTCATCTGCCTGAGGCTCTGTTCGCCCAGAGCCCAGAATGAGACCAGAGTCCTTCTGATGCTCTTCTCAGGGGAAGATGAGAAACAGACGCATTGGGTTTACCCACTGAGATGCCCTCTGATGACCCACATCCATGTGTCCCCATGGTAGTTATACTCTCTGGGAGAGGAGGATCCAGAAGGGGAGGAAGGCTGCAGTCTCTTCTGGGGGGGGTGGGGGAGGACCAGGCCCCAGCAGGACAGGCTGATGAGGAGTGGCAGGGTTGGTCACAGCATGGATTTCTCTCCTTGGGTGACATACTCAAAACCATCAGAGATGTCCAGGGCCCATCCCATAAGGGACCCAGGACAGCCTACACTGGGACACGGGGAGCAAGCCTACCTAAGACCAGAAAAGGAGAGCCCGTGTCAGGAGAAAAGCCAAGTCCTCAACCCTCAGAGGTACAAGAAGGTAGGAGGCACCCAAAGAAAACTCCTTCCTTCTCCTCTGCCCTGCCCACAAGAGTACACTGACGAAGGCAATTCTTACAGTAGCAGAACAGAGAATGACCTGAGAGAAGATAGTTAAAACAATACGATGCAATGATATGAAGTTAAAAAGATGAGGTAGTTTGAATAACTATAGGTATATGCAAACTTGATAACCTGGTTGGCTCTGCAAGGGGAACGGGGTGACTGAGGAAAAATGGTGGGGGAAACCGCACACCGTCGGCCCCTACAAACTACAGGAGCTATGAAGCTTCTGTGTCTTGGACTATATCACCATTAGTACCTATTTAAGTATATAGGTTAAGAACATTTTTTACATAAAAGAGTAACATATTTTAAGATATATGGACGTGAAGTTCTCAGATATCAAGGTAAGTGGAAAAAAACAGGTTAGGGGCACCTGGGTGGCTCAGTTGGTTAAGCATCCGACTCTTGGTTTCAGCTCAGGTCGTGATCTCAGGGTTGTGAGATCGAACCCCATGTCGGGCTCTGCGCTCAGTGGGAGTCTGCTGGAGATTCTCACTCCCTCTCCCTCTGGCCCTCCCCCAGCTCGTGTTTGCGTGCTCGCTCTCTCTCAAATAAATGAATAAACCTTTGGAGGAAAAATAAATAGGTTCTAGAATAGAGTACATGGTATTTGATAATCATTAGAGGTTTCAGCCAGATATTCCAGTTCTCCCTACCTGGGCACACGAGAGAATTACATTTCTTGGTTCCTTTGTTTGGGTGGGGCCATGAATGGTGAGTGGAACTTGCAGGAAAGAGCACGTAATTACTAGTGTGTAACAGCTAAAATTCTTTTTTCCTCTGCCCTAGTGGAATGTTCTAGACAGTGTTCCAGAAAGTGGCTGTTCTGTCAGCCTGGGACCTGGAATGAGGCCGACTCGCAATGGACAAGTGGCATGAGCAATTTTTTAATAGATCTTTGTCATTTTAAGACCCAGAGAGCTAGGGGTTACTGCAGCAGAACCCAGTCTATCCTGACTGATGCATGGTACCATTCTGTGTGTGTGTGCGTGCACATGTCCAGAAAAGAACCTAGCAGGCAGGATTCAGTCCAAACTGCTAACAAAGCCTGGAGAGTGGACTAAGACACAGAGGCACTTTTCACTTTGCACCCTTCTAGGTCGGTTGATTTTATTTGTCCTTTGAAAATAAAGCCCATATTCCCTTTATGATGAGAAAACCGTAGACAGAACTTTCAGTGGATGGCACACTGAGCACCAGCCTGGCGGGAACACTCACCTCATCGGGGAGACCTCGTCAATGCGGTTCCCCAGCTGAGACTCGTGGGACTTGCTCCGGGTGAGTGTGGGGAAGCTGGGCAGCAGCTGAAAAACCTTGCGGCTGGGTGGGGGCGGCGTCCGCGGCGGTTTCAGCTTGGTGTGCCTTCGCAGCTGGGGCGTGGTCGGGGGGGTGATGAAGCTGTGCAGGGCCCGGGGGGTCAGCCGGCCACTGGTGTGCAGGAGGATACAGGTGTCCGAGAGGCCCTCACAGGGGCCGGGGATCGGGGAGTCCGAGGTGGGCAGAGCGGACACAGACACGGAGCGTGGGCCCTGGGTGCTGCCGCCCATTCTGCCCAGCTGGGCGCCCCCTGGGGGCCAAGGCAGGCTGGCCGGCGAGAGGGCGTCCGCGGAAGGCCCTGAGCCGCTTTCCCGCCGGGCATCCAATGAACTCCAGCCCGAGTCCTCTTTGTGCTCTCCTCCTGTGGGCCCAGAAGTCGAGTCACAGATGGTCAGAGCTAGAGGGACTTACTAGCTAGGTGAGGCGGCCAGGGCCCCGAGGTTAACACCTTGCCCAGGGCTGTACGGTCCCTTCTCGGCAGGCTTCGACTCGAAGCCTTTATACAGGCCTCTCGAGCACACACATCACCACCCGTGTCGTCTGTGACTGTGAGGCCACCAGCTCAGATATTACTGTCCCCATTTTATAGAGGGGAAATGAGGACCAGAGACAGAATGGCTCGTCTAGGGTTCTTGCTGGCAGGTCTGCGGGGAGCAAGCTGGGAAACCCAACCCCAAAATGAGTGACCTCAGAGAGGGAAGTGGCAACTGATCTTTAAGAGTCAAGAAGGGGAAGCTGGGGTGCTCGAAGGGGACAACTCCATGTCAAGAAAATTCAAACACCAGGAAAGGGGCATATCAACCTTCAGTAGTAATCTGCCCTGGGAATTTGCTATAGGACAGAGATCTGGTTAGAAGAGGATCAATAGCCAATTCCTTCCGAGAGGCACCCGTGACTTTTGGCTGCCCACACAGCGGACCCCCGAGACCTTGAGGCTCTGGGCAGTTCCAACTCAATGACCCAGTCTGTCCATTCATTCGAGCATATGCTGGATGCCGGGTGTCAGGCCATGAAAAAAGACATCCACTGTGCTCAGACAGTCCAAACAGCAGGACAGCAGTGTGCTGAGACAGAGACGCCCAGGCCCTGAGGGAGCATGGAGAAGGGGGACCCTAACTAGCCTGGAGGTCAGGGGCTTCCCAGAGGTGGCGGCGTTTGCTTTGAGCCACCTGGAGAAGGTGAAGCAGGTGCACCAGGCAGAGGAAACAGTACATGCGAAGGCAGGGAGTCCACAGCACATTCTGGTGACTACGAGGAGTTCCTCGTGCCTGGAGAGGTCAGGACGAGCCAGAGAGCTGCAAGAGGCCAGCTCAGGAGGGGTCTCGGAGGCCTCGCCAAGGACTTTAGGTTGGAGCTTATAAGGGATGGGGAGATACCAAAGGGTTGGGGGCAGGGAGAAAGGAGCCTGTCTACAGAGACCCCGATGTGGGGAAGGAAAAGATACCTCCCTCCTTATTTTACCAGTGAGGGGAAAGTATGGATAGGTCGATGTTGACTCAAGACAAAATGAACTTCCACACGAGTTATTCCACTTTGTGCTTTCTCCCC